TAAATCTGTATTCGTTTGAAGCTATAAGATAAACGAAAGGCAATGATGATATCTTAATTATTCGTATAGCTTTAAGGATAAACACGAAAACTATTCTATGATATTTCTTTTTTTTATCAAGAAATTGCTCTCACTTTAGGAATACATTATCCTGCGCTGTAAACACGTTTTACAAAAATGTATTTCATGGACACACACCCAGATGCGAAACAACTATTTTTGAGTGCGCAAATATTTGTCCCGTGTGGTAATTTAACCCACGACCCTGACGCCGAAGCCAATACCTTCCCAACTGCGACACGCAGTCAACGAATAAATTGCAATAATGCTGATGTAGAAAAAAACCTAAGAACGAATATAATAAAAAATTGACGTACGTTTCTGCGGTAATGGAGGAAGAAGCTGTAATAAATAATGCGAGCTGACTTCACTTTTAGCGGTGTTTTTTATCTTATCATATACACCCTACTTTCCGTACTAAATAAAACTATACCGATATCTCTTGTGAAACTTTCTAGATACCGGCGTCGTGTGGTTTCTTCTTTGATGAAAACGACGTACAACTTTGGCTGGTGGTTAGCGATGGCTTCGTTACATGTACATATTTCTATTTTATCACGATTCGTTTATTCAAAAGCTCAGAAAATAGATATGAGGATTCTATTTCTTTAATTTCTTCGACTTTAATAACAATGATATTTTTACCATTAAATTATTCGTATCAAATTGAAAGAAAAAGGTATAAGAATTACAAATAAAACTTATCTGGGGTCCTTATAAAGACTTTTTATTTAAGATGTTTTATTTGTAATTCCTTTTCATATCCAAAGGATAAAACGGGATCCTATTACTAGGACCCCGCTGTCTGTCTGTCTTTCGGTGCATCAACCGTGATAGTGTTAGACAGTTGAAATTTTCACAGATAATGTAAATACAACAGAGCAAAAACAGAAATCAGTTGCCACTTTTACAACAATTAATATAAAACAGAATTAAAAATATTTAAGTGGGGCTCTTATAGAACAGACACGTTTTTTCCGTTTTTATAGATAATGGTACGGAACCTATCATGCACGATTCGAACTCGCACTTGGCCGGTTTTTGTTATAACCGAGTTGCTTTAAGAAATAGAAGAAATGTTAATGGATAAAGGGACTAGATGGCTAGGCTTAGGATTTGTTTAAGAAAGTAGTATTTTTACTAAGTTAGAAATGTCAAATAAAAATCGAAGCATGTACATTTTTCGATGCCTTATTAAACCCAAATCATTGATAAACTCTATAAGAAGTCGGAGCTAAAGCATGTCCATACTTTTACATAGCAGCGGTGTTGTTTAACATTGTTTGTCAGCAATCTAATATGGAATCGCTTATTTCAAATTTGCAGGTCAGCTAACTAGATCCTGTGTGTGTTGCTCTACGAATAACTGTAGAGAAGATCTTTTCGCTGCATACGGCTGGTGAAATTAACTATCTACTACGTAACACAAACTAACGTTTCGAGGCTTCGCACTGAAACCGTTCGCTTCGCTAACATTTCAGCTCTTGCTACTTCTTAGTTGATGGGTTCCCTCTTTGTTTCGGCCGTTTTTAATCTGCGCCGCACGTTCCAAAGTATTTTTGAGTGTGTGCAGCATATCTGTTCGTGTGTGTGTGTGTGTGTGTGTGTGTGTGTGTGTGTATAGAAGGGTATTTTTTTTGTTTAATGCGAAATATGTTTGACTGGATAACAAAAACGCACAACTGACGCTTCGCACAACCGCCGCGCTTTGATGTTACATAATAGCCTGAAACTGAAACACACAGAGATGTTTTTCGTTCGCTGAAAAACGTAAAAGCTTTAAGTTTGCATACAATATTTGAATATACTATAATATTGTACAATATAGAATGGATGAAACTGTTTTGTTCTGACTTAAATTTGGGTCGAATTTAAGTTGTAGTTGGTGGCTAATCCTTACTAATGTTATAAAGGCGAAAGTTTGTAGGTATGGATGGATGTTTGTTACTCTTTCACGTAAATACTATTCAGTGGATTTTAATGAAACTTTACAATAATATAGCTTATACATCAGAATAGGACATGGGCTATAATTTATATACATTTTTTATGTATTTTCTTTCTGTCTGAATGTTACTCCTTCAGCCTATTCTACGCAGATGTAGTCGCGGGCAGCAGCTGGTTAAACTATTACTCTTAATAGGCCCTTTTGTGATCTCGACTGTTTTAAATTGCAGTGAAATATTCTGTTGTAAAGTATGAGAATTGTTGGTTTCGTGTATTCTAAGGTTCTAAAGAAATTTGTCCCGCGTGATAACATACACTGAGAGTTACGACGTGATACAAAAACAATAATTTTTGCGCTTATCACCCATTTGAATATGGATATCTATTTTTCGTACAACATATACATAAACAGCGTAACATATACACAAAGAGCTTTTCTTGTATTTTTTTTGTTGTTAGCACACACGCATTAAAATCCAAAGAACGATATCCAATAACCAAATACATCAACGACTTTATCTACGATTTAGTACCTTCGACGACCAAGCCTATGTTAAATCAAATTTCTTATTACCTATCTATGTTACTGCTACATAGTTAACACTTGTATGTTACCTGTTTTGACTGAAAGTAGTATGTATGACAGAATGCTAAATATTGTCGGATCAAAATGTTGAAATAATTTAATATTGTTCATGGCCATTATTGAAGGTTGAAATTATTTGGCGCGTTTGGATTAATTTTCACGGCAAACCAAACACACCGATAGCCATAAAACGGCATCATGAAGTTGAGTTGGAGACATGGTTGCTTTGCAACCACTTTCATCGACTTCACGGTATTACCGTAGGAACCAATAACAACATTTGACATTTACCTATAATTCCAAGTTATTTAATAAAATAGTTATAAGGAATAGTAATAAGTTAGGTTAGGTTAGGTTATCACTTCCATTTAATGTGTTTTTAACCGACTTCGGAAAGAAGGAGTTTATCGATTCGGATGTTTTTTTTATTTTATTTATTTATTTATGTAAAAATTTTATGCACAATAACGTACAATGGCGGACTTAACACCATTAGATGTTCTCTACCAGTCAACCGACAAATAAGCAGAGAGAATAAGGAGGTGCGAAAGAGCCAGATGAGATAGTAAAGAACATGATAATATATAAAATATTACATACATATTACATATATATATATATATATATATATATATATATATACATACATACCTGTATAGTATTAGATATTTTAGAATAATGTCAAGAAGTGGAAATTCAAGCAACTCAGTGTTCAACATTGTCGATTATCTAAATAAAATTTAAAATTCAACAACTTAGTCAGACAATTTCTGATTGAGATGGGTAGCGAGTTCCAGAGCCGTACAGTTCAGGTATTGACGGATTTGCAGAATTTTTTTTTGTTCGAAAGGGTTTTATTCCGAAATAGTCCCATATAAATTTCATATAGATCCGATGATGATTTTCGGAGATAGCAACTGTGCTCTTCAATATATTACAGGAAATCAACCGCGATTGCTGCTATCGCATAAGTATACATTGTTTCGAAGAAATAAAAAATAAAGTAAAAAAGTTACAGACTATACATGTCCCACTGCTGGGCAAAGGCCTCTTCTGTACAGAGGGTATCAGGGAATAGTCCACCACGCGGCACCACTGCGGATTGGCGGACTACACATATCTTCGAAATACATTTTGTTTCCTCGTGATGTTTTCCTTCACCGCGGAGCACGTGATAAGTCAGCACTTAAAGTTAAAAACTTCATTGGTGCCGGCACCGGGGATCGAACTCAGGTTGCTCGAGTATATTAAATTAAAGGCGAGCGCCCGGACACTGAGCTATTACGGCTTTAAAGAAATAACGAACTTTAAATAATATAGAAGAAAGAACCCTCTTCAAATAAATATCACTTTATTTGAAGTCGATTGTTTTTTGGTTAAAAACATTTTGTTAAAAAGCAAAGATTGCTGGCACATGGGGATAAAATTTTTAGTTATTTTCCTTCTATTTCGCTAAAGAAGTATAACTTCTTAAGTGCGTACATCGCATATTTTTTGTTCTATTTTATGTTTTATACCATTCGCTTATGTCGCGCCTGTCCTCGGCACTACCTAGAAGCGGATTCCAACTTGATTAAGGATCCACTGGCCCCTGGCGATTAATCAGTTCGTTTGAATTGCATTGAACACGCTCCAACGGTGCACTGGTACGCTGATTAATTCCTTTGATCAATGCGGCGATCAATGTAAGTTAAACGCTCCTGTCCTTTGAGGTGACTTAATTCAAGGCCATTATATTAGGCAGAGAAATTGCTGAGTGCAATGTTAATAGTAAGCGAATGAAACTGTTTCTTAAATGGAATAAATAGCGGGATGAAATTAATAATTTCGTAGCTGACAGTAGCCCGAGTCAACAATGACACCAGGTCCATATTCTGACCTCTCAATACAGCCGGTGACCATAAATGCTGTACAGCATTTGGATTATCAGGTGTATAAAATAAAAATAAATCGCGACAAATATAATGTATGTACATTATATTGTAATGTATACATTATATTTATTGCGTAAAAGGTCTTGGCAACACAAGATAGAGTTATCTTACAAAAAAGGACAATTTAAAAAATAATATAATATATATATATATATATATAAAACAGTAAATGCCATATTCTTACGCTGACAACGTAATTCATCCGCGTCAATAAAGGAAGTTACATGAAATAAATAAACAGGTTAAGATAAAGTAATATAAAACATTACGTTATGATAAATTTCAACCTCACTGTCAACAGCCTGACACACAATTCACGGATATAAACCGTAATATCGAACAACCTACAACATAATATAAATATTCCCGACGATGGCGCAAAATAAGACGGGTCTTAATTAAAGGCCCGAGCTTCCAATTGCGTATCAATCCAATAATCCACAACTGGAATCGTGGACAAGCGGTACTGATTACGGGCCGAGTCGTTTGACGACGCCGCTCAGGTTGGAGGGGAAGGGGGGTTTTGGAGGGGTACAGGGGGAGGGGGGGGGGGGGAGACAACTGCTCGTGACGATTCCGGGTTCGGGTTTGCGGTGCGAGCAACGGGATATGCGAAATTGCGAACAACACTTGCGTTGTGACGTCACGTCACCGTACCGTCGCCGACGTGAGACCCGGTGTTGGCTTACGGCGAATTCTTTCATTTCGAAATCGTGGTTCGCGTGGTTCCAAAAAACTACAAAAAATACTACAAAAAAATAAGCGAAAACTCCTCGTGCGAGTCCGACTCGCGGTTGGCCAGTTTTTTCACTTAATCTCTTCAGAGATTTTTCTGTTCATAATAAACTCCTTACCAATTACAGCTTTTCAATCACAGACTTAAATCAAGATTTTAAGGTTTTTACTATTTAATTTATATGATTTCTTAGAAATTTAAATTTTTTTTATAGTGCTAACCTCTGCTTTTAAGAATAAACATAAAAATTTCGTAGAAAAAGTACGAAAAAGTTTGTACGCTGGAAAGGATATAACGAAGAATGCGCCAAGCATTACTTCAAATGCTAAGAAACAATGTAGATAAAAGACGTTAAGGTTTTCGTCGGTGTGGCAATCAGCCGTTTAGCTATGTGGCTAAAGCGTCAACCTGCGAATGCAGAAGACGTGGGCCCACGATTCCCACAGCGGCGACAATCTTTCCGTACTTTTTCTACAAATTTTTAATTATATGATTTCTTTGTCGATTCCAGCTTAAAGTCTCTACAACTAGTGGTTGTACTGTTTTACTGTCGATCCCAAGAAGTTAGTTAAAGAAATCAACGAGACTCGCTGCTTGTTAAACTGGTGTGCTAAAAAAGCGGACCACCAGTTGAGTAAGCCTGCCCCCTTGCCAAACCACGTTTGCGGCAAACGTTCGCAGGAACATCTGTTCCCGTGCAACGTGCGGGAACTGGATTAAATGTACGTTATATGCAAACACGTATTCCGGCCGTACACAGCCTGCTTGCACTTCTGATTAGAAGGCAATCGATGTGTGCGGACTAAATATTGGGATTCGAACACGGTTTGCCTAATCATACCGCTTTGTTGGACTGAAATACATGCAAACCGGAAAGGGAATCGATTATAAGATATATCGCCACTATTAGTATTTTATCCGAAAAAATCCGAATCCGAAAAAAGTTAAATGTTGGACCAGTTATGTTTAGAAATATAAATAAATGTAATTTACAAATGCGCGTACAAACTATGGTCACAATCAAATATTATTCGAAGGGCGGCAGCTGTAAAACAAACTACCAAGTGATATTAAAGATTGGTACAGCATACATAATTATGTAAGAATAAGTTAAAGCAACACCTTACTTAATCTGAAGTGTCAATTGCGAGAAATTGAATATTATTTGAAGTGAAGTTAATTTACGAATAAATAAAATAATAATTAAACTTACAGTATTCTTACATACTTTAAGTGTCTTATTTTCTCGAAATATTTTCTCTAACCATGAAGATGCATAAATGTCTTTTTCCCATTACATTTACATTACTTCCTACAACACGTAAATTTGTTCCTAGTGTCACCTGGTTTATGTACGGCCCTGTCATGTCGTAAGATTTGACTAAGCAAAATCTATCGCTTCATAATTAAACGAAAATCTCTAATTGAATATTTCAATCTTATAATAACTCAAAATAGCAAGAGTAACGGAAATGACCGTCCGTAATCATGAACCCAAAATAACAGAAAGGTTAAGAATTTCACAATATATTCAATTGAAAAAAAAAAAAAATTCACAAAGTCTACTTCTTTCAGCAGCGTGAACTATTTGCTTTCATACGAAAGATCAGTACGAAGCAATAAATAATTTGTAATGACGCGTAAAAAACTTTATTTTACTGTATCGTATGAAAAGGAGAAGAACGCATTCAGCATTGACTCTAGATATCACTTTCTCACAACATTACAAGCGCTAAGCCTCTCTCCCTCTCGATAACGTCCTTTAATCTAAGTTCCTAACTTACACCACATACCGAGCGATTCACTTAAGGAGAGTTGAATGATTATGTGGGCTCACGTGCTACAGTGGACCCGGCCAGATTAATATGGACGGCGATTTTCATGAGTATCGAGAATGATTTTGATGGATCGCTTATGAAGTTATGAAGGTTTCGAGATGTTCATGTATGCATACATGTGCCTACTTTCTCAAACTGATGAGTGTCTGTTTTACGTGAATACATTATTATTCGTATTGGTATTCGATAAAAGGCAAAATGTTAATGATAAGTAAGATTAAATTTTAGTTTAGTTTCGAGATTGAGTGTTTGTTTGAAGACAGTTAAAGTTGGACTCGTTGAAGCTTTCGAGATAACATTTATTTTCTCAGTGTTACTTTTTTATTTGAGAAGTTTATAAGCGAGAAGGTGGTATACCTGCTGTAATGTAATATCTATGGACATCTACATCTCCTTTGGCAGATGCTTTAACAACTTTCAAATTATATGGCCCAGTTACCTCACTCCTCGGATTTGCGTCTGCAAAAGCGTAAAACATCCACTACTAGCGAATTATCGGCCTGCCTATTTGTTTATTTATTAGCTGAAATTGTTGCGTGATCCCACTGCATTAAAAACATAAGACTTATCAAAAGTGAAAGCCTAAATTTATTTATTCAATATAAACTCAGTTAAACTCTTACTGAACTTCAAAAAATTGAAAAACCTGAGTGGATAATTTAAAATTTCTTTATTCAATATAGGTTTAATTTATGCTCTTATTGAAGTTCAAAAAACTGCCATCGGTTAACTGAACTAAACTTAACTAGAGAAGAACAGGCAAGAAACTCTGCGATCTTGTTATCTCCTTTTATCAATGATACAAGTATACGAAATTATTCAAGCATAAAATCAGCAGCAGCCAGGGGACTTGTAAGTGCAGAGCAAGAGTCATTTCCTCAATGTATTCTTCGACATTATAATAGGACCATATCACATAAGTTACGAAATATCTACGTTGAATAAAATAAATATTTTAAATCACAATTGGAAGCATTCGAATGTGAAAACGTTTCTTTTTTTCGGCGAACCGTTAGTGAATGTCTCTTCATTAGTCAACTGCCGCGCCGCGTGGCATTTATTTGGCCAACTACAGTGTTCGAGTGGTATTCGTATGACGAACGTATCACGCAGCCGACTGTGTCCATTTTCATGCGGTTCCCCTCTGTTTCAATTACTGCACAACGATAACGTGTATCGGTATCGGCGAAGTGCGTTTCCATTGTTCGCGCATGACGCGCCTGAATAGATAAAAATTTTGTACACGTTTTATTGAACAAATTTTCAAGTACTCGAGATCTGGGATAATATTATACTTCCTGTCTTGTCCCAGTTGCATGAAAAAGAGTTTCTGATATCTGTTGCTGATTCCTTGTCTTTGCAACCGACTTCATAAAGGAGTGTATTCTTTTATTGTTTTTATTTTTGTCACCTTAGAACTGTCGACAGAGTGGACTGATTTTAATGATTCTTCATTTTTTTTAAAGCTGGTGCTTCCCATGTGGTCCTATATTAATTTCATTGGTATTGGATCTTGCGCTCCGGAGATACTTAGGGAAGACCTGAAAATCAATTATAAAATTAATACACAGCGAGATATTTAAAGTCGGTTTTGTTGTTCGTTAGTAAAAATATGGACTTGGTATATGTCCATTATTTTGGATTTCCTATGTATTACAATCACTGTCTCCGCAAGCACATTTCACGTACTAAACAAGCTTGCTAAAACATTTATAGTCTATCAGCTTTAGAGACGTGATAACCTGTTAATAGCTACTTGTTTATTCTCCAGATATTGTTTAATTGTACCCGACTTGATGGTTTACGTTGGATGAGGTAACTGTAATACTAGCAACAATAGACGCCAACATTATCCATATACTGGTGCCTTAGTAAAAGGGTATTCTCATCCCTTGAAGAGCTGACCTAAGCCTCATAGAATATACCTCAGCTGTATGTTTAATGGAAGCAATGATTTTTATCGCGATGAATGGAAGTTGAGTAGCAGTTTTAACTGTGGTAGGGCCACGCAACAGTCTTAACTGTTGCACGAATCAGCAGTCCGTCTGGGTTAGTACCACGACCTCACAGAAGACCGGCGTGAGGCGGAAGAGTTATACTTATGCGTTTCATGGTGATACGTGGTGACACGTTGGAAATACTGAGGTTTAGTCTAGCTAAAACCAGGAAATCGTTTCTTAGTAGATGTATTAACTTATATAATAGAATAGGTGACATCCACAAACAATTAAGTGTAAATAATTTCAAACTATTTTTAAAAGCCATCTTAATGGAAAGGGCCTATTATAATGTCGAGAAATACATTGAGAACAAGGATGTGTGGAAATGACTCAAGTCAATGTTGCACTTGCAAGTCCCTTGGCTCCTGCTAAATTATACTAAAACAATTTTATGTATATAATTTAATAATTAAATATATATACATATATATATATATATATATATATATATACAGTTTTAAATAAAAATTCAATGACCTCGTATGTCCTTTAAGTCTGAAAAGGAAAATTGGTAAGGATAAAATGGTTCTCTGGAGCAATTTTAAATAAATTTATAATGTGTAAATTATACTATTACTTAAAATCAACGGATATAACTGTCCAAGACGATATTCAAAATGTCCGATATTTTATTAAAAGTTGAACGCAGTGAAATCTGTATAAATATTTTTTCCTTTATTCATATGAAGAGAATCAATAAAACTTGAATCAGTTTGTGTGCATCAATTTGTATTTTCATTGAAAAACGCCCGAATCTCGAATAATAAAGCACGGATGCCAACTTAGGAGTGTTCTTCCTAAATTTAGGACGAGAAAATTTATAATTGAAGTGTTTTTGTAGGTAAACTCAAACCAAAACTTCTTAAATCATTCTTATATAAGAGGTTTTGAGATACTAACTGTTTTTAGTGAATTTTAGTGAGTGTTTGAATTGCTTTTGGAGTATTTTCATTCCCTTCATGTCCTTACTAGCTTAAACAGATCATCATATTTTTATTAATTCTACTAGATTACATACATCCTCCCCGGCTCCACCAGTGGGAGATCGGTGTAGGGGTTCGCTCCGGCTGACTCAATCGGACCTATCGAGACTACAGGGTGAGGCTCGGTGACCCAGTCACGGGGACGGA